TGACGATCATAGTATATTTAGCATGGACCTGGAGGCCGGGACCTCGCATGGTAGGAAGGAGGGGTTTGCACATGGAGGATACAGCTCTGGTGCACCATCAGAGTGCTCCTTCGAGAGTGATGTCCCTGCAGGGCTGTCGAATGGCAAACGCAGTAGCCTGATCGAGATCTCGCTGTCTGCCCTGCGAGGAGATGGGGAGGAGGACGATGCTCTCTCTGACTCCATAAGTGAGCGGACTGAGATGGAGGCAAAAGGAGGGCTTGGTTTCTTTTTCAAGGTAGGTCACCGATTGTTATTACAAAAATGCTGTTTTTCTAAGGTCAGTTCATTCATGCCTTTTTTTAAATGTTATTTATTTATTGTTAGGATGACAAAGAGCGAACAGATGATGAGATGGCCCAGAGACGAGCAGCTCTGCTGGAGAAACAGCAGAAGAGAGCAGAAGAGATGAAAAGACGCAAACTTGAACAGGAAAAAGAAAAAGAATTAAAGTGAGACCTGTTTTTTCTTTTTTTTAATAACTGTGTTTGTACCCAAATATAGGCTGTAGCAGTATCTTACATTAGGTTTGGTCAAGTTTCGACATTACTGTAGTTTCAAGTTTTTGCAGCATATAACTGACGATGATTTTTGATGTTCTGCTTCATTGTCCTTGCGAATTAAACAAATTTGTATCATTACCTGCCTGATAAATCAAATTGAAAGTTTTACACATAAACTTTCTATGATTTTAGCAAACCTCAGTGGATGACTATTGAGGGCTGGGGGAATAAGGAGGACAGGCCCCAGACTCCAGGCACCCCCACAGCATCAGGCACCCCACCTGGCGATGGGACGCCCCACCGCAGAGGGGACTTCACACGGCAGGAGTATGAGAGGAGACATCAGCTGAAGATCATGGAAGACTTGGACAAGGTGCTGAGGCAGAAACCCACCACGGTTCGCGGGGTCAAGAAGCAGAGGCCCAAGACTATGTTCAGAGATGACTCAGTCCTCTCTCATAGCCCTGCCAAAGGTTTAATGGGTACATATCTCTGATGTTGAATCACCTAGATCTTTGTATGCCCTTGTCCTACACACATTTTTGTTTCTCATATTTGAAATTTGCCTCCTTCTAGGCACCAGGCTGAATAAGGTGTACTCTCACTCCACCATGAACCTGTCCTCCATGGCTAACGACTTGAGTGTCAGGAAGTCTCCCAGGTAACCTGCACACTGCTGATGGCTTCTCTTTTATTGGAAAATGGGATGCACATATCCTGTGTTCTGATTGTTGAACAGAATAATCATTTTAATTCCAAAAAGGAAAAAGAGGGTCTTAAATATCATGTTAGTACATTTTCTTCGATAAAATAGAGCTGGGCAATATGTCATTATAATATAAGATTAACTATGATTCAGTGGAGTAAAATGAACTGAAGAAGTACATCCTGGGGATGAAGTACACACGTATTATCTTTTCAATTTACACACGGCATCTATTGCACGTCTGTCCGTCCTGGGAGAGGGATCCCTCCTCTGTTGCTCTCCCTGAGGTTTCTCCCATGTTTCCCTTTAAACTGCGGGTTTTCTCCGGAAGTTTTTCCTTGTACGATGTGAGGGTCTAAGGACAGAGGATGTCGTATTGTAATACTGATATTCTGTACAAACTGTGAAGTCCACTGAGACAAATGTAACATTTGTGATATTGGGCTATATAAATAAACATTGATGATTGATTATTGATCACCTTTTAAAATGTGTCTGTAAAAAAATGTTTGCCAGCACCAAATGCCAGCCATAAAATATGATATGTAATTGCATACCTACTACATGTTTTCTGGTAGCTGTAATCAGTGTTATCAGGGGCAAAAGTACATGCAATACTGTTTGTCTACTGTATGTACATACAGCCTCCGAACTGACTTACCTCCATTTTACTTTACTCCTAGCCATTCTCATTCTCCTTCTCGGCTAATGTCACCAAGACGAACAAGTGCTCACAACGGAGAGAAGGACTGGGAGAATGGCTCCACTATTTCATCAGCTGCTTCGATCCCAGAATACACAGGTCAGTAATTATTCAAACTTAAACTTAATTATGTTGAAATTAATAATGTAATAATTGTTTTGATGTATTTATGGAATGTGGAAATGCTGTGTTTTGCAGGACCAAAGCTTTACAAGGAGCCTAGCTTTAAGTCCAATAAGTTCATCATCCATAACGCTATCACCCGCTGCTGCATGGCCGGCAAGGTCAATGAGTCTCAGAAAAATAAGATTGTAGAGGTAAGCAGAAGTCCCCTGTAACTAGGCTATAATTGACTGTGATCTTTGTCGGCTAAACTTACCTTGAGTTTTTGTTTTGATTTTCAGGAAATGGAGACGAGCACGGCCAACCACTTCCTCATCCTCTTCAGAGATGCCAGCTGCCAGTTCCGGGCAGTTTACACCATGAACCCTGAAACTGAGGAGATGGTGCGGCTCACTGGCATCGGACCCCGGTGTATTGCACCTGAGATGGTTGAGTCCATCTACAAGTACAGCTCTGATCGCAAACAGTTCACTGCCATCCCGTCCAAAACTATGTCCATGAGTGTTGACGCCTTCACCATCCCTGGTCACTTTTGGCAAAAGCGCCCTGGAACTCCCAAGAAGCTTGGAACCCCAAAATAATGTCGGTAGATGAGTAAAGGTGTGCAGAGGTGTTACTATTCAGGGAACCAACTTGATTTGGCCAGCAAGGCACTTGTGATTGTGCAGTTAAACAATGACAGAATGACTGGTCAACATGGACGCTGAGTATAATCCAGTCAACTCTACACGCCAAGAGAAAGGGCCAGTTACTCACTCATTCAGCCAATGTATTTACAATAGTTTTCTCTTGAGGGCTTCTGATTGGCTCTGCCTCGTCTACTAAGATTGTAAAATGTAATGCGAATAATCCTGTTGGGACGAAAAATCCTCTTTCCTTTGCACCCTGTCTCCTCATGCCTTGCCTTACCCTACCCTGGTCGTTTTTTGCAACTCTTTGTAAGAAGTAAGAAATAGAGAGGTCGACCTCACTGCCTTTGCACCGAAACACTGATGTGTGCAACAGTGTTTTGGGCCAGAGTAGTCCCCGCCCCTTTTAATTCTGCTCGCTTTTTCCTTTTGCTGCCTTTTGTTAATTTTCCAGTGTCACCCTCTCTCCAGTCTACACAGACAAGTGGAGCAGCTCACCGTTCAGACTGGAGATCTAAGATGAAAATGAATAAGGGGTAATGCAGCTCTCATATGAATGTAGGGCAAACACTTACCACTCACTCCATTCAAGGGTGTTCTCACTGGTTGGTCAGGACTAAAAAATTAGGTTGTGGGTGGTTCCTTTTTGGGCTGCACTGGTGGTGGATACTGTTGTTGTCAATGGCTTTGCACACCTAGAGACTGCCTGTGGTCCCATAGTCCACACATCCCACTCCATTCCAACTCCTCAGCTGTAGACATCTGGATGTTTTTTTTATACTATTTTGACATGTTTTTGCTGGACAAATCGCTTCAGCCTTTGGGAGCTGAAGGAAGAATGACATTATTGAGACTTTTTTTCCTCTTATCATGCTTTCTAATTTTCAACATGTGATGAATTGAAATGGTATCTGAGCTGATCTTGAAAAACTCAACTGGAAACATGAAGGAGGGCTTTACCATGTTTATAATTACATGGATACAGCTCTGTGTGAAAATGATAATCAATGCTGATTTAATATATACTGAATGCTGATTACTCTGATTTTTTTTTGGACAATGATTTGTAAAAAGTTAGTTGACCTTTTGTAAGCTACCAATAAGCTAGCCTGCTGCATTAGTGAGAAGTATGTTTGAGATGTGAATGAGTGTATGAGAATTGTCAAACAACTGACAATTGAAACCTTTTGTCTTGGGATTAATAAATCCTTTAGGTCACTAGGAGTCTGTTTCCTATTAAATGATTCCCTGTTTGTGGTTTTCTTGATGAAGGATCATTCCAGACTGTCACAGCCCTCACCTTCTCAACACAGACTCCTTTATGTATAACGGGGGGGAATGTAAGGCGCCAATGTAAAACACTTTTTTTGCCAGTGAGTCCAAGCTGTTTGGAAAAACACTTGACCCTGCAGTTGTTTGTAATCAGGTCAATATTGCTACATAACCTGTGGTAATTTGGTCTTGTTCCCTTCATTTGCAGTCTTTAGCACTACAGCAGCTGCCGTGGTGCAGCTGTCTTCTTCACTGACTGCCTCCACCAAATGTTATTGTTTGAATGAGATTCCAATACAGATGTGGGGGAAAAAAATTGAGAGCCACACCTATAGGGAAAAAAAGATGATTGAGTGTGGAGGCGTGCACATGGACTTGGTGGATGTTTGTATTTATAAGTTTGTAAAGAGTAGTATGTGGTAGGTAAACACTATAATTTGATTATGTGCAATTATCCCTTAAGAAATCCCCACGTCCCCCAGAGATGTATTTATTTGGTTTGCATTAGATGTTTAGTTTCAGGTTCCACTTGTGTCTTTTTTGGTTAAGGTGGTAAGTCTCTCATTCATTTCATATAAATTGTCATAACATTTATGTTGTTTTCTTTCTCTTCTGTTTCCAAAATCTGTGCCAGCACATTATGTATGATCATTTCATAAATTGACTATCCTTGTCAACTGGACCAGACCAATAAAAACCCTTTTAAATCATCATCTATGTTTTGTCATTCTCATGTTTATTTTCCCATTCGCATTGTTTATTAGAATTTTTAATAGGAGTATTTGTTATCAGTGTGTGCCACTAACCTATGAATGAGAAGAACAATAGCTTTCCTGGCTGATCCAGAAAAAACAACACTGACCTGTAAACGCTTGATTTATTAAAGTTATGGGTTTGAAGTACACACCGGAGTATCAAGATCTCACTTTTCTTTATTCAATTAAGCATTTGTCTTTTGTTTTCACACACATTACAAACATCAGGGTAGTGCTTAGTTCTCTGTCTAACAATACTGACCGCAAACAAATATTAGCTGCTGTTTAGCTGTGATAATACTGTTAATGATGGGCATCCGAGGAGAATTAGGAGACAGGTTAAGGTTGAATGTTGATCCTGGACCACAAATGTTACCGTCAATTCTGTAATTGAACTGAGATGTGCTGTTAAAGAGATGTTTACAATTTCCAACAATGGGTCAAAAAAAGGTAAAAACTGCTGTTGTGTCTGAAAGGCCATAAAAGGACATAAAAACTCACAGCAGTAAACTGTGGCTGTTCTATCTTGTGTCTTTAAAAATAGAGCATTTTCTCAGTTATGCTTGGTGTGCAGCATCTCAGTGAGTAGAGAGTTGCAGGGCAAATCTCCCAGAAGGTGGCGCTGATACAAATACTCCTCAACCTGGAGGCTAGTGCTGCGTACTTCAGGAAGCCGTAGCAGCAGCTGGCCAAACTTGTCTGAGTGTCTTGGATGACTCTGCTGGGTGTGCTCCATGAGGGCTCTGTTTACCCTCTCCTGTGTCTGCTCCACCTGCCTGCGACTCTGGACTGACTTCACATCTAGACAATAAAAAAACATCAATGCCACTTTTCTCATCAACACAAAATACATTCATGCATACATCCTAAACGCAGGTGCTTGAGAGATATTGTGATATATTAAAGGTCACCTATTATGCAAAATACACTTTCTTTTATACATAAACATGTGTCCCCTCGGTGTAAAGAGATTCTGAAAGCTTCAGGAAGACTTTTTGTCCTGATCCATTTATATAAAAACCTGTCTGAAAATGAGCCGATCAGATTGTGGCCACTTTTAGATGTCATAACGATTTTTTGGCTTGTGTAACCATTAGCCAATAACCAACCAAGGTAACACCCGCCCACCTTATCACCTGAATCTCCCCCTAGAGCAACATTGTATTTTTTTAACCAAATATCTCAGGGCGTTGGGAGTGGCACCTTATTTTCATCTAAAGTAAAAGACAGAGAATCAGCACTTTTGAAAAAGGCCTGAAACAGAGGGGTTTATGGGATGTTACAATGCATGATCTGTTTGGTATTTGGAGCCAAACACTTCAGAGACATGTTTTGTATATATCTGAGACCTATAATATATTGATGAAAAACAGTATAATAGGGGACCTTTAAAAGAAAGATTTACAACTTAAAGGTGACTCAGTTGTTCAAAAAGCTACACCATTTAAAAAAAAGAAGCTCACCAGGGTTGAATAGCACCAAGTGTTTGAGACAGACAAATTCTTGTCTGTCCAGCTTTAATGACTTCAGTTTGTACACTAAATCCTGAGTCCTCGATACCAGGCTGCTTAGTGTCGGTCCTGCCTGAGAGATGATGGTTGAAACATCAATCTGCATAAGAATAAGAGAAAGGTTGTTTATGTGCAGCCCATAACAACACAAATTATTTATTTTGCAATGTTGAGTTTAGTCTTTACCTGCTGTCCTGTGACCAGATATATGCAGCCCTCTTTGCTGAAGGTCACCTGTCTACAGAGGTGATCCAGGACCAGCAGCTCACTCCAGCAGCTCTGCAGCAGCACCATCTGGTCATCCACCTGTGGAAAACACAAATAATGTATCTGATGTAGTTACAAATAAAAGAATACGACCTTTGACCTCCTGTAAGCACCCAACAAATTGCAAAAAGAGAAGGTCTCTACATACAGCTAATTGCTACCAGTCCAAAATGCAACTTTATAATCTCGTGATGTATCACCTTGAGCTCTTTAAAGAGTGCGCTGTTCCTGGCCCACTCCACAAGCCCAAACAGGGTCTGGTCAGCCATTTTGCACATGATGCTGAATGTATTTAGACAGTCGTGTTTGCCTCTGTTGGCTTGTTCTCTCTGCAGACTGGCGAGCACCTTGGAACACAGCTGGCTCTCATCGGGCTCCCCCTCCAGGAGTTGACTCAGGAAGTTGGGTGTAAGAGTGCCTGATGTGTAGTGGGTTTGGGTGGGAGCTCGGGAGAAAGGAATGGTGGAGTTTGGCGTTGGGCACGGGGATTGTGTTGGTGTGCTTATTGGTGTAAATGAATCATTCAGAGTTGGATGCACATAGTTTGCTGGAGCCGGACTGTAGCTAAAAGTCATTTCTCCTTTCTCCTGCAGGTATCCAGGGTAGATGCGGTGGTATAGTCCAGGGTAGGGCAGCGAAAGAGGGTTGAGCTCCCTGTCTGCGTTCATTTCGCAGTCTATAGGCATGGGTGCACTCGACTGCCCCATGCCAGAGGGATACATGTGGGACTGATGGAAAGGATCAGAAGACAATGAAGCACTTGTGTGATGGCTCAGGTGAGGATCATTTGGAGCTGAGGGTCGGTGTTGTTTTTGAGTAGTTTCCATCTTAATCCTGTAGGGAGCAGTGTTTGTCTGGTGACAAACCTTTCGCTGTTTCATCTGCCTGTCCCGCCGGTACAGTGGGCCAAATTTATTCCTGCCACCTCTCATACGATCTGCTCTTATTGCTGTTGACAGAACGTGAAACAAATGATCAAGGTTTTACAACAAGACCTTAGACATTCACAGAGATAATTCCTTTTAAACACTCTATATCACTAATATAAACTACATATTTTGAAGGCTCAGATACAAAGTTGTCATCTGTTATCTGAGTCATTACAGCACTCATTTACGGCTTAGATAAGTAATATGGGAGAAGGAACATGCATGTCAATGGAAAACAAGGCCTGTCACAATGGAGCAGAATACACGTTTTTTTTAAAAAGGCCTGAGCAAACGTGTGTGTTTCTGTCTTTTGCGTTGGGGCTGTGTACTCTACCCTCTCTCTTCATGCCCACTGCCAAACACTTTTGGAAGCGACATGAAGGACAACGTTTCCTCTGCGAAAGGTCCATAGGGCAGCTCTGTTGTCCTGCACAGGTGTAACGCTTGTTATTCTGCACTGAGCGCTTAAAGAAGCCCTGCAGAGAGAGAGAGAGAGTTATAGAGATTCTCTGCACATAGGTCAATCCTGAGTGATATAATAATGTTTTCCCATCACTTACCTTGCAGCTCTCACAAGTGAGCAGTCCATAGTGGTATCCCGACACTTTGTCTCCACAGATGGGACAACTCTCCTCAGGCTCTGCCTTTAATTCCTGACCTGGAGAATGACCCACAATTAAATGTACAATGTACAAATGAATGGTAGATACAGTATGATACAAACGTTTCATACTGAAGGCCAAAAGATAATTTACAGGTGCTGGTTATTAAACGTACGGGTGATGGTGATGTCAAGCTACTCATTTTATTTTAATTTGTTGTATATAGAGAAGCCAAAGGTACTGTAAGTGGACATCCCATTTAGTTGCTTTTCTTTTATTGGGAATGATTAGTGTATTTGGCACTAATAAAAATACAACACTATATTACAGTTTTCAAGTGTAGATAATATCTAATTAAAAAAAAGATCTCATTATGTCAATATTAAAATATGTATTTTTATCATAACTTCCATCTACACAAAATGCATAAAGAAGAGTTTGTTATAAGGCCAACAGACTCAAACACATTGAGGATATTTTATTTGATCATCTTTGAGAAACACATTCAACACCTTTCTACTCCGGCAAGTTCATTCAGAGGTTCAGTGCTAGCTGCTGACATAAGTGTGTCATCTAATGGGGTCAATTGATCAGCTGTTGAGAAAATAGTGACAGTGTCTTATCACTCATCTTGATTTGCTTGATTACCGATATGACCCTTACATAATTTCCAGTCTCCCAAATGAAAATCCGTAAAAAACCAGAGAACTCATTTGAATACTTCAATTCATAAAATATATATTGTTATACTCAAATATTCATACCTTTATTATGCTGTACAAATTCAGAAGTTTTACTGAAACCTCTCAACAAAGTCTTCCTATATTATACTCACATTTTGAAGATTCTTCCAATAATAACGGATCCTCTGGGTAGTTGCCAGGGTGATGGAAGAGGGGCTGTGGTTGTAGTTGGTGATAATCAGGTAGGTCCATTCTGGCTGAGGGGGCATGAGAGTCAGTCCAGTCTGATCTTCATTGTTGCAGAGACCAGGAGAGCCAGAGAAGACCGGCTGGCAGGCCCAACTGCCCCGGTGGACTGATGGCCCACAAGCGGACTTCGATCAGTAGTCTGCCATAAAACCTCTCCTGACTGGCACTCCTACCCAGTCACTCAGTCACTCAGCCAACCATCGGATTGGGGACAATCCGATTTCCACCTGCTGAAATGTAACTATAGTGAAATCACTCCAGTACCGTTGAGCCATCCTGGAGCTCTCCTGATAAGATAATGGTCTACTGAATAGGCAGTTAATCACATTCATACATTATCATTGTGTATTGCAATTTAAATGTAGGCAGTGGTGTGGGAAGAATATGGGTCTTTTTAATAGTTAAACATAGTTAAAATATTCTACATTATGAGAAAAAGCGTTTCTTTCTAAAGCTTAAGTAAAAGCACAGGTTTAATCAGAAACATGTTTTTTAAGTTCCAAAAGTACAAGTTCTTGTTCTGAAAAAACTGGACCCTTTGGGAATATTATATACGACAATATAAGATTGTTTATAAAGTGGCATCAATGTGAAGAAACTTCTTACTGTTTGAGCAAGTTGAGGTAGAGCTACTTTGAATTTTTTTTTATATACAGACACACAAAAGGCGCATTCACACCGCAGTACTTTTCCCACAAAGGTCCATGAGAACTTAGTTCATGAGAACTATAGGTTACTTACGTAACCCCAGTTCTCAGAGTAACATGAAGTGAGATGTCTCACTATGGGATGCGCCTCAACGCGTATGCAAACAGAAGCATCAATCTCATTACGCCAATCCTGATTGGCTGGTGATCTTGTCGTCTACGTCAGGGAATCCACCCACCCTTTAAGTAGCTTGCGCTACGTCGCAGCGTCATTCAAAATAAGCACCTCTTCTCGCTTCGCCTTAGCAAGAAGGGCCGTCTGGTGAGACATCTCACTTCATGTTACTCTGAGAACTGGGGTTACGTAAGTAACCTATAGTTCGGTACAAGATTTACATCATACAGCCCATGTAGTATAATATTTTACAAATTATGAATTACAGCAAACATGTGCAATATATCCATTATTACAGCTCCGTGGGCTGGCAGTAAGGCGATATGGTCCGTTGTTATTGTGCATCCATGGGTAAAGAGAAACTCATGTACTGAACACGTAACTTGAACGTGCCGGGCGGCGCGGTCCCGTGGGTTAGATGCGCGTTCATAATGCCGAGGGAAATAACTCAGAATAACGTTATTAGCACATTTTTACAACTTGAGGAACGAATGTTTTTAATAAGGACTATACAAACGTTCATACTGGGTAGTTTATTTAGTTTAAAAAAAATTATCCAACGAGTTACACACCACTCTTTCCCCATGTAAGTCAATGGGAAAAAATGTTTCCGGGCCCAGCAACCTAAAGGAAGTGTAGTACCGCCGTTTGACCAGCACGAATATTCTCATCAGACTCCGGCGCACTTCCTGGGGGCTTGATATTCTCATCAGACTCCGGCGCACTTCCTGGGGTCTTGGTTGAGGCGCATCCCATAGTGAGACATCGAACGGAGTGTTATGAATGATAATTCTTTAGTTCTCATGAACTAAGTACAGATCGCGTTCACACCGGAATAAGTCCCTGGGGGAGGATTAGGCAAATGAAGCCGCTGACGTCACTTCTTCTTCTTCTGCTTTGGGTTTACTGGCAGGCCGCAAACCACTTCACGGCGTATACCGCCGCCCAAAGTCCCCGGCCGGTGTCAGCATAGATATATATATATAAACACTGTTTATATATATCTATGGGTGTCAGTACCAGATATGTTCGGGCTACCAGATATGTTCGGGTGTATTTCCGTCGCATCCGTCATCCGTCATATCCGTCATAGACTCACCTCCCTCTGCTCCCAGCGCTCTGCTGCCACACACCGGCCGTCTGCGGAACTGCAGCCGGAGGAACTCGGGACAGCTTGTTATGTGTGGGGTGCTATGGTGGGGTCCCATGTACTTGTGCACATAAATAATGTTTCTAATTATTTAAAATAAAAAAAATATATATTCTGCGTTACTTTAGCCAACACTTTTATAAGGCCACTAGATTAAATAATTACGAAATGTGTAGATAGAATACATATATTTCAGGTTGTTATTTTGTCATTATGTTTAATGTTTTATTTACCTTTTAGTATTTTTATATAGTATCTGAACTTTGGAGAGGAGTTGGGAGACACACGACACATCAAATCACATCTACAGATCAAGGCGAAGCGAATGGAAGTACTCCCATACTCCTAGCGTGAAAATGTTTGTGAAAACGTGTGCAAAGTCTCCGAAAATCAAAACAACATCCGGTTTCACTATGAGTGGTCGCATTTTCGAGAGCTCCCGCTTTGGCGGTTATTCCTCACGATTTTTTACACATTTCATCCTCCTGACAATATGGATTATGGACTCCTACCTCAACTCATCAATGAGGCAACATCACTTAGAGAAGGAGAGTAATGAAAGTGGGGATAAAATGAACCACAATGACTTTTACCTTCTCAACGGCTGGGAAAGGAAACACCTCGCTTTTGGAAGTGCAAGCATTCATGCATTATTAACTGCAAACCCGACGCGAAAGTACTTACCCCCGTCAGGCAAACTAGACCGAAGAAGTATGATCGTCTTGGTCTTATTGTTAGCGGGAGACATCCATCTGAATAAAGACACCAATTTCAAAAACCGTACTGACCTGCATCATGAAAATATTGAATCTGTGTGGGTTGAAATTCTTTTTGACAATGCTAAATCTGTAATAGTCGGGACAATCTATAGACCACCGGAACAGAGTGACTTTTATGATACATTAGATGGGTGTTTGGCTGATGTGGGGGATGTAGAGACAATTATTATTGGAGACTGGAACACGGATATGCAACGTAAAGACACGTCCGTCTTCAAGTCCTTCAGTAGGATTTGTGATCTGCACGGCTTCAGCCAGCTAATCACCCAACCCACCCGGGTATGTGAAACAACACAAACTACCATTGATCTCATTCTGACCTCTGACAAGTCCAGGATCTCCAGTAAAGGGGTTATAGCATGCGGGTTAAGTGATCATTATATGATATTCTGTACCCGCAAAAAGCTCAAACAAAGGGCCGGCTGTCACAAAACAGTCATATCTAGAGACCTCAAAAACTACTCTAGCGAGGCCTTTAACCTAGAACTGGAGAGCCTGGACTGGTCAGATGAGCTCAGTGGTACACAAGTTGAAGAAACATGGCTTGGTTTCAAAAACAAATTCTCTGCAATACTCAATGATTTGGCCCCCCTAAGAACAACCAGGGTAAAAAAATCGCGCTGAGCCGTGGATGCACTCCGGCATACTGACCGCCATGAAAACCAGAGACAAAAAAATGCTCTCCATCCATCCATCTTCTTCCGCTTATCCGTGGTCGGGTCGCGGGGGTAGCAGTTCCAGCAGAGAGCCCCAAACTTTCTTTTCCCTGGCGACATCAACCAGCTCTGACTGGGGGATCCCAAGGCGCTCCCAGGCCAGCGAAGAGATATAATCCCTCCACCTGGTCCTAGGTCTACCCCTTGGTCTCTTCCCAGCTGGACGTGCCTGGAACACCTCCCTAGGGAGGCGCCCAGGTGGCATCCTAACTAGGTGCCCGAACCACCTCAACTGGCTCCTTTCGACGCGAAGGAGGAGCGGCTCAACTCCGAGTCCCTCCCTGATGACCGAACTTCTCACCTTATCCCTAAGGGAGACACCAGCCACCCTGCGGAGAAAACCCATCTCGGCCGCTTGTATCCGCGATCTCGTTCTTTCGGTCATGACCCATCCTTCATGACCATAGGTGAGGGTAGGAACGAAAATGGCCCGGTAGACAGAGAGCTTTGCCTTCTGGCTCAGCTCCCTTTTCGTCACAACGGTGCGGTAAAGCGACTGCAGTACCGCTCCCGCTGCTCCGATTCTCCGGCCCATCTCACGCTCCATTGTTCCCTCACTCGAGAACAAGACCCCGAGATACTTGAACTCCTTCACTTGGGGTAAGGACTCATTCCCTACTTGAAGTGGACAGTCCATCGGTTTCCTGCTGAGAACCATGGCCTCAGATTTGGAGGTGCTGATCCTCATCCCAGCCGCTTCACACTCGGTTGCGAACCGATCCAGTGAGTGCTGAAGGTCGCAGACCGATGAAGCCATTAGAACCACATCATCTGCAAAAAGCAGTGGTGCAATCCTTAGTCCACCGAACTGCAGACCCCCTCCCCCATGACTACGCCTCGAAATCCGATCCATGTATATTACAAACAGGATTGGTGACAAAGCGCAGCCCTGGCGGAGGCCAACCCTCACCGGAAATGGGTCCGACTTACTGCCGAGGACCCGGACACAGCTCTCGCTTTGGGAGTACAGAGATTGGATGGCCCTGAGTAGAGACCCCCTCACCCCATACTCCCGCAGCACCTCCCACAGTAACTCCCTGGGAACTCGGTCATACGCCTTCTCCAAGTCTACAAAACACATGTAGACCGGATAAGCGTATTCCCAGGCCCCCTCCAGGATCCTTGCGAGAGTAAAAAGCTGATCCGTCGTTCCACGACCAGGACGGAATCCGCATTGTTCCTCCTCAATCTGAGGTTCGACAATCGGCCTGACCCTCCTTTCGAGTACCTTAGAGTAAACTTTCCCGGGGAGGCTGAGTAGTGTGATGCCTCTGTAATTGGCACACACCCTCTGATCCCCCTTTTTAAAAAGGGGGACCACCACCCCGGTCTGCCACTCCTTCGGTACTGTTTCCGACTTCCACGCAACGTTGATGAGACGTGTCAACCATGACAGTCCCTCAACACCCAGAGCCTTCAGCATTTCCGGGCGGATCTCATTCACCCCCGGGGCTTTGCCACTGTGGAGTTGTTTGACGACCTCAGTGACCTCCCCCCGGGAGATTGGTGTTGATCCCCCGTCATACTCCAGCTCTG